GAATTTTCAGCTTGATGCCAGTTTCAGTCACATATTAGGGTAACAACTAGCAGATATATCAACACCCTCCATGAAAACCCTATCTGCAGGGCTTTTTTTCCTCATAGAACGCCCAGAACAGAGTTCTGGCACCTTTTTTAGACGGAACCTTGTAGGGTAGGCAAGGCGGGTTGTATGATGTGTGGGAGTTCCAGCACCTTTTTTTTTTTTTTAGAAAAAAAGCACTGTATCCATCCATCCATCCATCCATCCATCCATCCATCCATCCATCCATCCATCCATCCATCATCTATCTATCTATCTATCTATCTATCTATCTATCTATCTATCTATCTACCTACCTACCTACCTACCTACCTACCTACCTACCTATCTATCTATCCATTCAGGGCTTTTTTTCTCATAGAACGCCCAGAATGGAGTTCCGGCACCTTTTTTGGACAGAACCTTGTAGGGTAGGCAAGGCGGGTTGTATGATGTGTGTGAGTTCCGGCACCTTTTTTTTTTTTTTTTTTAGAAAAAAAGCACTGCCTATCTGTATATGTTCAATACAGCATTCAGTTCTGCATCCAATGTAGTATTAGAGCACCCATTATGTACACTAAATGGAAAACAGAACTTATAAGGTCAATTGCTACAAATCTGAACTATTATTCTGACCAGGAAACTATTGTTCTCCTCCTAGGAGGCCAAAGTTTAGCTGTTTTTAAAAAGGATGCCAAATAGCCATCAATGCCTCCCTTACACTACTAATTGTTTCAGGCTTTCTCCACATGTTTACTGTGGTTTTATATTTGATATATTGTTCCATTGTTAATGCTTTAAAATTTGTTCTTGGGTTGTAAATAAAAATAATTCCCTGTCTTTACTATACTCGCTAGGAATAAAGCTTTTTATTTTAAATCCAGAACTTTATAAATGGTCATATTAAAAAAAAAATCAGTTGGAACTTTGCTGAGTATTCAAATTATCCAGCCAGATTCACATCTTTTGGGGGCTTTTGTGGGATGGCCAATGACAAAATAGGGAGTCTATTCCACATTTCTCAATCTATAAAGATTTAGTCCGGGGAGGAGGTCGTTTTGCCAAAGAAATGTTTGATCCTAAATCTAGATGCTTGAGCCCCTCTAAGACAATGCATTCAACTCCTTTAAAGCTTATATTACCACATTTTGTAATGGAATGGTTTTTAGGTAATAAAAAAACATAACAAAGCTTTTATAGGAGGGCAGCTATTTTATTTTATTTTTTTAGTTTTGCACTGTGTGGCATTGCTATCAAAATATTTCAAGAGTTTGTTTTAAAGGTAGCTGATAATCACTTGTGCTGCCTCTCCCCACTCCCCAGAAAACAGAGAGAGAAAAACCGAGAACCAAAATAATAAATATTTATGCACTTTATATCATACACATGACTCGTTATATCTAACAACTATTAATATGACTAGATCATTGAGCACATGCTGAGGAGAGAGTAGGAATGTATTTATATGGCCAAATTTCTTTTTCAGTCCATGGGTTGAGATCATCTCCATATGAAACCTGGATGACTGAAATGACAATGCACAATAGTACAAAAATGACTGTATGAAGGTATGATGAACCCAAATGTCACTTCAAGCTGCCAGTCACATGCATTTAGTATTGTAGACTAATCCCACAAAGTGAAAGGTCAGAGGCCTCAGACCTCTCTATCAGAACCTCTCTTAGTTTACACATCCTGGCCCACCGGCCTGCCTCGATGGTTGACAATTTATGCAGTTTATGATAATTTATCTTCCTGAAGGATGCCTTTACCAGGAATCCTATCTGTAACCCCAGTAGAGGAAAGAGATAGGGATTTCACAGCCTCTTTGCCTTCTGGGAAATCACAGGAAAAAGAGAGATTGGAAGAAAGAAACCTTATAGAACCACCTTCTGGCCCATATATGTGTGACTAAGAAGAGCAGTCCCCATTCCTCTGGGAAAGTAGGCCAGATTGATGTAGGAGAAAAGCAGGAAGAGCTGGAGGGCAGAGTTAAACACATCATTAGTTTAGAGTCCTTGTATTGGTACAAGAGATCCAAGTCTTACTCCCTTTGAGTTCCGTTGACCTTTATCAAACGCCAATTTAGTGCTGACTGTTAGTTGACTAGAGTCTTGTGTATATAGGCTTCAATGAGTTGTCTTTGTTGAAATTTAAGGAAAGGTGCCTGACAATTCCTTCACTAAGAAATATATGGGGAGAAATGAATCATAAGCTCAAATATAATCTTGTTATGTAAGAGTGTGTATGACACAGTTGGAGTTCCCTCGTACTTCGCAGTTTTTGGAATCATCATGTTATGTAAGTCCAACTCAGAACTGACTTGGCCTTTTTTAGTTGTTTGAAACTTAGTCCTTGATTCCCTTTTCTATGATTTTCCTCAGTATTGATGTCAAGCTGATTGGTCTGTAGTTTCCTGGGTTTAATTTTTTTCTCTTTTTTAAACAGTGGGCAATCTTGGTTTTTTTCCCCCAACCTATTGACACCTTGTGGTCCAGAAGTTTTCAAAGATAAAAGTCTGTGGTTTTGAGAATACATCTGCAAATTCCTTTAGCACCCAGTAATCCATCTACCCCAGGCAACAAATTTATTCAGAATATCTAGGTGTTTTCTTATCACTTCCTATTTGACCTGTATTTCTCTTATGTTCTCTATTGTACACCTTCAGATTGACCAGTTGTTCATATTTTTCCTTTTGGGAAAAGACAGATGTCAAATAAGAATTTAGCAATTCAGCCTTCTCCCTGTTGTCCATCACCATCATGCAATCATTTCCAATCAAGAAAAGTCTCCTAGATTTATCCACACATACCCCAATAATGTTTTTGTTTGTTTGTTTGTTATTTTTTGTATTTATTGCAAGAATTGCTCATTCTGTCTCTTAGTCTTCCTCACCCCATCCTTACAGATTCAGGTTATTTCCTGATATTTTGTCTTTCATATATGCCCCCTTTCCATTTTTTAAACTTTATGCCAAATTATTATGCAGTGAAATAAATGTATTCTAATTCCAATGCTGAGGCAAAGTATTCTGGTATTCAGTATTTCTGTGGTGGGAAAATATCTCTTCCCTACTGGAACTCTCCAACTATTTCCAGAGTATAACTAAGCAATTAGGAAAATGTTTTTTTTAAATTAAAAAACTATGCTAGATAAAGCCAGTCACAAGATCCAGGTTATCTAAAACCTGCAGCATGTAAAACTGTTTCCCTATGTCAGGGACCTTGAACATTTATTTTATCTTATCTTTTGCAAAATGAAAGCACAGTTATATGTGCTTCAACATCTCATGCAAACATCTTACTCAGAAACCATATTTTAAGACTTGGAAGCCATTAATCATATAGAAAATATGCTTATCCTAAGCCAGTCAGCAGCAGTGTTGTTATCACAACATTAAAAGAAGTTTCACATCACAAAAGCGATTATAGGTCTCAAACTCACATTCTTTCATTACTGACTAATTGTTTTCCACAAAAAGGCAGTTATGAAATGATAGAAAGGATACCTGGCAAGGGAGAGGATGTGAACTAAAATCAACATAAGGAAGAATTGATCATTGCACAGCATGAAATAAAGCTTATAAGGTGGGCATGCTTATTAGGTATGAAGATAACCTCTCTGGCCTAAATTGTACTGAGGTCATGAATCTGCCTAGTAACCACACCACTTCATATAGAAGACACAATTGCTTGACTTCTATGTGAAACTTCCATGTAAACATGAATGTCTTGGAAAAGAAAGTTATTGTAATTTCTCTGATCTATCAATCAAATAGTATTCAATTATGGAAATTATCAGACATGGCAGTCTGAAATGATACGAACTCAGTTCCTTAAGACCAAGGCCTCTGGTGTCTCATGGATCCATGGTTGATGAGGATCCTTTATGAGGCAGGATTGAAAGGTGCCATAGAGTTTCCTCCACCATAAACTATAATATAACTTACAAAGTTAAAAAAAAAAACTTACAAAGCAGTATGAATAGCTGCTAAAATATGTCTAATGTCTCAATTAAAACTTAGTGAATGTATGACTTAATTGTATTTCAATAGAAAATATGGTCAGTAATGAGCAGGGGAATGGCTTCATATTACGTCCTTGTTAATGCAAT